TTCTATAAATAATTTCAACTGTTTTCAAACTCTACAGGTAATGTAATAATGCTTGTTAACTATAAATATATAGTAATTTTTATAACTTATATTTAACTAAAAGTTTGTAAAATTGTTAATAATTGAATGATTTATTAACAATATATCTAGCTAATACCCTAATTTAATTAAATAATAAAAGTGAACGTGAATTTAACAAAAATAATTATCAAGTAATTAATGCCTACATTTTCAGTTAAGTAATTTGACTAGTAATTTATTACTACAGTGATAATGAAAAAAATAAATAAAATGATTAATTAATAATATTCTAAATAGGCTGCAGTTCTATTTGGGGAAAGAAGGAGAATACTATAAAATAATTTGAAAACGTAGAGCCTTTGATGTTTATTTTTTATAACAGAAATATAAAATTAAATTATCGATTTATGATTGATAATAATATATTAATTAATAGATTCAATTCAAAATTATATTAAAATTAAAACTCATTTGTTACATGTTATCACTATAACAGCACACAATAATATAATTTTCGTATACTTGTTTTTCATAAATTTTAAACGCAGAATTGGTTTTTAGTAGGAATAAAATTTATTATTCTGTAAAATGAAAAAATTAAAAATTCCACTGAGGATTATTGATAAGAGTAATTGCTATATAGTGGCGGCAATTTAAATTCACACTGATATACGCAATTGAAATTTATCGATCATGCATGTTAGACAGTGATAAGTTATAGAAAATTTTAAAACTCAAATCATATATATGATTATATGTTGTGGAATGTTGCTGATTAGGTAATATCAGATGATTAATATCTTACCATATAATAAATTAAGGAATAATTCCTATCAAAATATCAGTACTCAAATAATCTTTATTCTAAAGGAACAAACAAAAATGGTTTATTAGACTATTGTAGAAAAAAATTAATCTTTAATTTATTTGTCAAAAATTTTAATGCAATCTTAATGCTAATTTTACTTGCAAAAACTTTTTTGTTTATTTCTGATGAATAAATTTAGTTAAATTTTTCGTTTGTTTAACCATTTTCAGCTTTTTAAAAACAATTTCTCAAAGTGAATTAGCAATTATTTTTGCATCATTTTTTTTTTTCAAATTATCTTAATTAAGAGAATATAGGTAAATATAGACTTTTTCAATAATTATGCAACATGATTCTTTTAATACTAGACTCTATTTCTCTTAAAATATTAAGTTTTTGGTGAATTTATTTTTTTTGGACCAGTAATCAGAAGTTATTAACAGTTTTAAGAAATGAAAATAGGTAAGAGATGTGGGTATTGCTATTTTTATCATTATATATTTATTCCTCCTGCCTAGTTATAAAAATGTTAATAACTTCTGAATTCTAAGATGTTATCGACTAATCCTTTTCTTAATTAGATCATTATCTAACTACTAAGCTAGTTAATTTGTATGTTGTTATTTGAAAAAATTAAGTTGACACCTTTTTGAAGTAAGAGAAATGAACATAACACATGAATTATATATGTAAATAATATAAGCCAAAAAAATTATTGTTAAATAAAGTCTTGTACACTTTATAACATTTTGAGCTTATGTTTTTTTTTTATTGGGTTCTTGACCAATAATCACTTTGGGTATCCTCAACTAATTTATTGTTTTATATTTAGAATAGAATCTTATTGAATGTGTTGATATACCTACTTATATATAGAACAAAATTAAATTTTAAGGCGAAAATTAAATGGACAAAAATTTTATCGAGAATAAAAATAAAACTATCGAAAACAAAATTTTATCATCTACCAAAAAAAAGATATCATTAAAAATAAATCATTGTAGAAGACCAGGTTTGGTCTATAGAAATTTGGTGAAGAATTTGGTAAACTCTGAGAAAACTAGTGTATATTTTAAAAACTCTATAGGGAAACAATGGATACCACCTAGGTCACCTTATGCTTTGATTCAAGAAGACCTTTTCCATGATCCTTGGCAACTGTTGATTGCTACAATATTTTTAACCAAAGTTACTGGTAATATTAGCTAATCAATAATTTAATTTTACCTGATTCTTTTAGTGCATAATACATTTGTTTTTAACAGCTAAAATGGCTATACCAAAAATTCATAAATTTCTTAAAAAATGGCCAAAACCAGAAGATGTTAGGAAAGCAGAAAGATTAGATTTACTTCGATCTGTTGATAATTTAGGATTAGAAAATACAAGAGTTAAAACTATTAAAGGCTTCACTGGTAGGTTAACAATATTTTTTTTATATTTTTAATATAACTAGTTTAAATCATACATTTTTATTTGCAGAAGATTATTTGACTAAAGATTGGAAGTATCCTATAGAATTATATGGGATTGGAAAATATGGTAATGATTCGTATAGAATATTTTGTGTTAATGAATGGAAACTTGTACAACCTGATGATATTATGCTATCTAAATATAAAGAATGGCTTTTACGGAATGAAGAAACTTTTGGCTTATAAAACTGTTTATATTTTTACTTTGTTTATGATTTATTATTTTATTGATAATTTTTAAAGACCTATTTATATATTTCATTATCATGTTATTGTAGATTATAATTTTTTTTAAATTTATTAGTAACATAATTATAATATTACATTTTTTAATCTAAATACTGTTGAAAATTCATCAAATAATATATAGCGAATCATTTCAACCCTAGAATTATTATTTTACAGTTATTATTTACTCCTATTATAAATAGACCAATACTTTTTCTGCATTTAATAATTATTTAATTTGTTCTGTCACTAAGTCATATTGGTGAAACTAGGAGGTCAATAGAGTCAAAAGGTTATTATATTTATACTAAAATTTATATAATAAAAATTGATCACTTGTGGCTAATTAATTAAGTAAAATTAAAACTATATTAAAAATATTATTAATTTAAAAAAATATTAAAATACTGATGTATCTGGTCAGTATCTGTTTAGCGTTGATAATGGTAACATTGTTTCCGAAATACGTATCCGCAAATACGTATTTTCATTAATTTTTTGTGCTTTGAGTTTAATATTTTTTAGTTTTTTTAAATTAATAATATTTTTAATATAGTTTTAATTTTAATTAATTAATTAGCCACAAGTGATCAATTTTTATTATATAAATTTTAGTATAAATATAATAACCTTTTGACTCTATTGACTTCCTAGTTTCACCAATATGACTTAGTGACAGAACAAATTTAATAATTATTAAATGCAGAAAAAGTATTGGTCTATTTATAATAGGAGTAAATAATAACTGTAAAATATTAATTCTAGGGTTGAAATGATTCGCTATATATTATTTGATGAATTTTCAACAGTATTTAGATTAAAAAATGTAATATTATAATTATGTTACTAATAAATTTAAAAAAAATTATAATCTACNGATTTAGCTCTGAATGGTGTAAATATTCTGTTCAATTACATAAAAACCTGCTAACTTTACCAAAAATTCTATGATTTTTGGCTTTAATGTCCAATAACTTCTAAAAATCGTGATTTCATATAGTTTTTCTATTTTAAAGTACATTGTATTAATTATAATTTCATGTTGAATTAAAAAATTTAGGTTCTTTGGAACTTATATATAATTGAAAAGAAAAAAAAATCATTATGTTTATGTTCCCACGGTACCTTAGTCAATGATTAGATTTTCAAAAAAAAAAGCATGTATTCAGTAAGACAAATATTAGAATTATTCTCAATAAAAATTTCAGTGTAACGTGGTATAGTTTGGACAACTATAAATGATATCTTACAGCGATTAACATTTATATCATGAAAAATACTGTATATAACAAAATTGTTATAAGAGATCTTGAAATAATCATCTTATAAATTGGCAATAGAACTTAACACAAATTTAAAAAACAATAAGTTTTTATTACACTTAGTATGGCACATAAATATAACTTCACTAACCAAATAGAATATTACTCACTCAGTCAATCAGGACGGTGGGAATATGAAAAGTATGAATGATGTACGACAATGCTTGAGTGAACATGCAAATACTCGAGAGTTCTATTACAAAACTTGATGAAGACATCGAAAAAAAAAGCAAATATACCCTTTATGCTTATATAAATTTGTTCCATTTTTCGATTGTATTAAGATAATGAATACACTATCTATTAACATTTAACCACATTATACTAATTATACATATATTAGTATATTGCACTATCATTTAGAATATGCACAATTATACACATGCTTTTATTATTAAGCGGCATGAGGAGGACATGCTAAAGAAAAAACATAAGTACATTTTGTAATATTCTTCTCTGGAATATTAAAAAAAAATCAATACCTTTTTATTTTNTTAATATTCTTCTCTGGAATATCAAAAAAATCAATACCTTTTTATTTTTCAGACCACAGAAAAGAATACGCTAACACTATTACGCATCTAATTCTGATCTTGGCCACTATAAAATAGCCATGAGTCATTGTCTTTCTCAGCATCTTTGAGGCACCACAAAAGCATTAAATAAGGGAAGTTAATAAAAAGTAACTGTCTTGCCTTGATTGCAGTACAGATTGGTGACTCAATATGTCTATGAAAAGACATGACACAATTGAGACACCCCATCCCTGTTTATGTCGATTGTGGTACATTATATAAAGGCTGAAGACCCTGTTTTTCTAGTCAGTCACTCATTCACTTTCTTGTCTCTTATTCTCAATTAACAATCTCATTTATCAAGTTAAAATCTTTAAAATTATTCCCTACATATTCTAGCGTATTCTTTATACTGTGCCTATATAGTTTAACTTTTCTCGCTAAGTTTAAAACGTACATTTTTTAAAATAACTAACTCTTTGCTTAAAATATTTACGCTTGTATAATTCCCGTATAATTCTCTTTTATTAATTTACCTAATATAATTTTAACAACACTCTTAACAACCACAAGTCTATACAATCAAGAATCTATCATCATCAGTGAATATAAGATAAGGGTAATTTTAATACACTAACTACATTAATCAAGTAATAACTAGAAACAAAGTACTTGTATTTATTATGTCTTTACGGATGATGTCATTATCATTCTTTTTTATTAATAGCATCCCCATCAACTTTATTTTTAGTTATTACAATACTTCAATGCAAATCTTTAGATACTGTTTAATTTTAAAAAATTGGTGGACTATTCCAAAGGCTACATGATCTGCTAGTTCATTATTAATATCCTAATTAAGATAAAGTATGTAGAATGAAAAAGGGATTATTAAAAAATATTATTTCTCATAAAAAAATAATGTTGATCCATACACTTTTCAATATGTCATAGCATTATAAAGTTAAAAATGTAAAAAATAAAATCGAGAATTTTCACACAATAATAGCATTCGGTAGCCATTTTCACCGTGAAGATAAAATAAAGTCCGAAATTTTTTTTTCACAAAATAAAGTAAATTACATTAGCTTTAATTTAAGATATATATAAAAGTGTCAGACTTTCCGGAACACTTTCAAAATTTAAGTTGAAAAAGTTCTACTTTCTATATGCATTTTTAAGTTTTGAATCCCCTCTGTATTAAGGGAAATGGTCCGATTTAAAAATAAAGTATGTCGAATGAAAGATCTATATAAATACTACTTTTCATAAAAAAATTGTACTGATCCATACATTTTTCAAAAAGTTATAGCATAATAAAGTTAAAAATGTAAAATACAAAATCGAAAATTTTCACACAAAAATAGCATTCGGTAGCCATTTTCACCGTGAAGATAAAATAAAGTCCGAAATTTTTTTTTTGCATAATAAAGAACATTACATTAGCTTTAATTTAAGATATATATAAAAGTGTCAGACCTTCCGGAACATTTTCAAAAGTTAAGTTGAAAAAGTTAATTTTTTGTGAAAAAGTTGTCATTTTAAATCCCCCCTTGTGGGCAGGTTAAGGGTTAAATTTATGAAAAAAATATACCAAATGAAAGGTAATGATATTATGCATCTATATAAAAAAGAATTATATTGATATGTTTATTTTTGAAAAAGTTATGGCACTTTTAAGTAAAAAAAATTGAAAAAATTTCGAAAATTAGCGATTTTTAAATTTGTAATTTTTTTGGAGATTTCCCCCATTTACGGGGAACGAGGGCATTTTTTTCAATTTTTGAGGGTAATGTCTTTGACTAGATACAATTTGTGATCTTTTGACGTATGTTTGAAAGAAATCGGTCCAGTGAGAGCTGAGAAAAAGTGGTAACAGACACAAAAAAAAAATAAACACATCTTAGTAAAACCAATACCTTCTCAGCTTCGCATCGAAGCTAAAATTTAAATAAGTTTAACATTCTATGGCATATTAATTTGATTTATATAATATTTATGAAAATCAGTGTACTCCTCTTGTCAGGTATTTTAAAATCAAATAAAATACAAAACGCAGAATTTTAACACAAAAATAGCATATTTTTAAATACGGTTGTCATTTTCACAATGAAGACAAGTCCAGAGGTCAAATTTTTTTTTCAATATAAAGTATATCACATATGCTTTAATTTGAGGTATATATAAAAGTGTCAGTATTTCTGGAACATTTTCAAAAGTTAAGTTGAAAAAGTTAATTTTTTTTAAAAAGTTGTTATTTTTGAAACCCTTCCTGTGGGCTGGTAAAGGGTCAAATATTTATACAAATTTATCAAATGATATAAAAATACCTAAGGTACCTATAAAAAAAAATTATATTCATTTGGTCATTTTTAACAAAGTTATAGTAGTTTTCAGTAAAAAAAAATTGAAAAAATGTCGAAAATTAGCGATTTATAAATTTGTAATTTTTTAGGGGATTTTCCTCGTTTACGGAGAACAAAGGAATTTTTGAAGATTATGTCTTCGACTAAATACGATTTGTGATCTTTTGACATATTGTTCATCAAAATCAGTCCAGCGAGACCTGAGATTGAGCGTTCACAGACACAAAAAAATAAAAATAAACACATCAAATAAAATTAATACATTATCAGCTTCGCATCGAAGCTAAAAAGATTATTTTTTTTTTAGAAGTCACCTAAAACATATTGATAGCATTGATTAAAGGGGAGCAATCGCCCATATCCCCCTTAAATACGCCCTTGGTATAGACAATAATTATTAATATTCTAATTATAATAATTGAATTAATATTATAGAATAATTACGAAAAAATTCGACAAGTTATTATTCCTGGGACTATGTAAAAATTTTATTTTTAAAAACAATATTAATTACTATGATTTCACGTTATACATAATCTTTATATATATAAACTTTGCTTCGTTATAAAAAAAAATTCAAAGCAAAAAAAGTACATTTGAAAATTGGAGCATTCTTAGTAATTTTCAAAAATTATTGTCTTTAATATACCCTATTCAATTTTCATTAGGATTTGTGTATTTTTGTAAAAGTTATGGCAAAATGTAAAAAGGGAGAAATTTTACTGAAATGTTGTGATTTTTAGCTTAAAGTCTAAATAAACATAGAAAAATACCCCAGGAACGTTTATCCATTTTTCATCATAAAGAACTCTGAAGGAACTTTAAATTCTGAAACACTTTTTAAGAATTGAAAATAATTTTTTTTTTAATTGATATTTTTGATCTTGTACGATTTCTCATAAAAAACAATATTCGAACAACAATTTTTTTTAATAATCTAGTAGAGTGTTGTAATTGGATATAGGTTCTAATTTGTCAGACCTTCCGGAAGATTTACATAAATCGAATTGGTCTAGTCAGAACTGAGACTTTTCATAGACGCATCACAGTAAACCCAATACTATCTCAGCTTCGCATCAAAGGTAAAAATGAATAAAACTTATCTTTTAAACTTGTTAAAATTTTTTAGTTTATTCATCGAATAATTAAAAATAAATTTTTTAAAATATTTGTAAAATTTATCACTCATCATAATTGTATTATAATTGAAAAATTTAACACAAATAACCTTTTTTACCTTTTAATATTTACTTGAACTTTAAGATAAAGCGTTATCCTATACTATCCCGTATTATTTTATAGTAAAATATCTAAACATATACTATAAGAAAATTTAAATTATTTGACTTTTTTAAATTATACTACTTTTTTTAAAAAAAATTAAGAAAAAAACTCATTTTTTTAAAAAGCATAAGGAATTGAACATGGTAATACATAATATGAACATTAAGCGAAAGTCTATTAAAGTTATTTGTTAATTATAACTGTACGCCTGTGTGAGTACTGATAATCTCATATATTAAAATAGACATTTCAAGGATGGAATTGTGCATTTCATAAATATTTTCATGCAATATCAAAATTAGTAGTACAATAGTTTTCGTTTTGTTTTTTTCTTTTGACTGGCGTCTTGGCACAATTGCCACATTTGCATTCAAAGATTTATTTTTTTGGCTTATAAATATGAAAATACATATTCTATATAAAAACAATTAGCTATATTTAAGATTTAAAAATTTGTAACTCCATTTAGTCAATTTTTCAGGGTAAGAAAAACGCAAAATTCAAATTTTGATCCTTATTCAATTTTTTTTAATTTTTATAAAAAAATTATATATATATATATATATATATATATATATATATATAAATATTTCTACATACTCACATATACAACTTCATTTGTCGGAACTATCATTTAGGGAAATAATAAAAATGTCGGTTTATAATGTATACAAATAGCTAAACAAACGATAATTTTCTTGGTTGATATAGAAAAAGATTCTTTATCAGAATAAATTGTCATCAATCAAAATATCAACCATAAAATATTAAGTCAACAGTCTTTTAAGACATAAAGGATGAATTAAAAAATTATTATAATTGATAAATCGAAATAAATAAATTAAAAAACACTATAAATGATTTTCATAACATAATTATTGTTAAAATTCCTATAAAATATTTCCAATAAAAAAAACCCAGCACAGTGCGGTAGCTGCACAGTGAGGACGTGGCATAGATGGGTCAAGTATAATGATATCTGACAGTGATTAAAATCACTATCATAAGAAACGCTTCGATGCAAATATGTAGATAGTGTTTAATTTTAAGAAATTGGTAGATTATTCCATAAGCTACATGATCTCCTATTTCCTTATTTATATCCTGATTACAAGTTTTATGATTTATAAGTGTAATACGAGGTGTGATCCAAAAATACCCAGACTGTGTTAATAATATTTATAACAATTAAGATAACAAAATCCCGATAATTTCATTCAATAAAGTAACTTCTAACGAGAATTTGAGCATTGGTTTGAAAACAATAACAACATTTATTTTTTTTTTATAGCATTTTTAAAAAAACATGTTTCTGTTATGCGTCGATTTTCGAAATGGAAACAATAGAAGAACAACGTGTATACATAAAATTTTGTTTTAAATTAGAGAAAAGTTTAAATGAAACTTTTGAACTTTTGAAGCAAGCTTTTGGAGATGATGTTCTTCTCGGACAACATGTTTTGAGTGGTTTAAAAGGTTTAAGGAAGGTAAGACATCCATTAAGGATAACGAACGACTTGGTAGACCCTCACCAGTAAAACAAAGGAAATTATTGCTCTTGTTCGTGAAATTATTCGAAATAATCGTCCATTAACTATAAGAGAAGTTGCAGAAAACGTCGGAATATCTTATGGTTCTTGCTAAGAAATATTAACCAAAGAATTGGGCATGAGCCGAATCGCAGCCAAATTTGTTCCTCGTCTCTTAACCGATGAACAAAAACAAAACCGAAAAACAATCTCTCAAGAACTTTTTGAAAGAGCAGAAACTGACCTAGACTTTTTGAAAAATATTATAACTGGTGATGAAACTTGGATTTACGGCTATGATATTGAAACCAGTCAATCGTCCCAGTGGAAGTCAACAAATTCCCCTAGACCAAAAAGCAAAGCAGGTAAGATCAAATGTGAAAAAAGGAATTACCTTTTTTGATTTTCGTGGTTTAGTTCATCGTGAATAGGTGCCTCAAGAACAATCAATAAATCAGTATTTTTATTTATGAATAGATTACATGAAAATGTTAGAAAAAAAAAGCCAGAAAACTGGAAAAATGGTTCTTAGATGTTGCATCACGATAACGCCCCGGCTCACAGCTCATTGCTCATTCGCCAGTTCTTAGCGAAAAATCAGACTCCAGTTGTTCCATAACCACCATACTCACCCGACCTGGCCCCATGCGACTTTTTTTTGTTTCCGAAGTTAAAATCTACGCTCAAAGGATGTCCTTTTCAAACAATTGATGACATAAAATAAAATACGGAAATCGATCTAAAGGGCATTCCAATAAGTAGTGATGAGCAAAACAAGAACAAGACCAAGACTGTCAAAGTCTTGGTCATAGTCTTGTTCTTGATAGCTCAGTCTTGGTCTTGGTCTTGCTTTGCTAACTCAGTCTTGGTCTTGGTTTTGGTCTTGCAAATCTAGTCTTGTTCTTGTTCTTGGTCTTGCTTTGCTAACTCAGTCTTGGTCTTGGTTTTGGTCTTGCAAATATAGTCTTGTTCTTGTTCTTGGTCTTGCTTATAAAATCTTGTTCTTGTTGTGAGTCTTGTCACAATACTCTTGCAAAATCTTGCATTCATTTATATTTGTAAAAATTTTCTACTTAAAAGGTTTAAATAACGAAGTTATCTACTTCAGTTTGTAAATTCAAATTTAATTTATATGCCATAGGATTTTTAAGTTAGAACTTAATATTAGCATAAACAATATGGATGATTTTTTTATGAATAGTTTGGGGTATTAAAAAAAAATAAACAAATAAATTAAATTATAAAAAAATAAGACGTTATTGAAACAAAGTATTTTTTCACTTTAAACTGATGGCGTAATATTGTCCGAATGGTAACGCAGCGGATGTGCGGTCGGGGAGGACGCGATTTCGATTCTCCTAGTCGGATAATTTTTTTTGCATTTTAATTAATTTTTTTCATTGAATAATGAACATGAATATATTTATTTTATGAGTTTACCAGTCGCCGGTTTTATGTATCGATTTTTAAAACCGGTTTTAAATAATAATCGCTTTCTGTTCATAGACACAGTTTTTAAAAATTATTGGTTTTGATTAACAAAACCGAAAAAAACTGTTATAACCAGTTTTTATAAAACCAGTTTCAGTCTCCGCTTTAGAAGTAAACAAAAATTTTATCTAATTTTATCATAATGTTTGAAGCACGGAATATTTATTTTTAATCTTCTTTAATTATTTAAAATTAATTAATTACAATTGAATGACAATAAATTTTGAAACATGATTGTAAAATTTTAAGTTAATCGGTAACATCAGCTCATAGGTAATATTTAATTTGAACAATACGCGTAATGAATAAAAATCAAAGTAAAATTTAATATTGTCGAATCTGTCATTAATAATCTTAACGATTTTAACCAACAAAATTTTTTTTTTTTTTTGCAAGAGTGCAATACTCTTGCAGTTTTATTCTTGTTGTTGCAAGATTCTTGCATTTTGAGTCTTGGTCTTGGTCTTGTTCTTGCAAGTGTAGTCTTGTTCTTGTTCTTGGTCTTGCTAAAAAAGTCTTGGTCTTGTTCTTGTCAATTGAGTACAGTCTTGATGTTGGTCTTGCTGATATTATTACAGTCTTGGTCTTGTTCTTGGTTTCGTAGAAATGCAAGACCAAGCCAAGACCGCAAGAACAAGAGTAATTCTGCTCATCACTACCAATAAGTGCCTACCAGGAATGTTTTCAAAAGTTGAAAAGAAGATGGCAGCGGTGTATTGCTTCCCAGGGAGGTTATTTTGAAAGTCATATTGTGTATATAGAATAATATTGAGTTAATAAAGTTTTATTTAAAAAATCCGATTATTTTTTTATCACACCTCGTATATGAATGTTGAATTAAAGAGGTATATAAATAGAATTTATTGAAAAAAAAATAATGTATTGATCCATATATTTTTCAAAAAGTAATAGCATTACAAAATTAAAATTATAAAAAAAAACATCATAGTAGAACCAATACCATGATCGCATCGAAGCTAAAAAGAAATTTTGTACAAAAATCTTATTTTTTTATTAACTTTGATGTTTGTTTTCATTATGAAAAACTAAAGCCTGAAATTTTTCATTTTTAATATTAAAGTGTCAGAAATTCCGGAACACTTTCAAAAGTTAACTTGAAAAAATTAATTTTTTGTGAAAAAAATATATTGATTTGGTTATTTTTAAAAAGTTATGGCAGTTTTCAGTAATAAAAAGTGAAAAAATTTCGAAAAATAGCGATTTTTAAATTTGTAATTTTTTTTAAAGATTTCCCCCATTTACGGGAAATTTTTTTCAATTTTTGAGAATAATGTCTTCGACTAGATACGATTTGTGATCTTTTGACGTATCGTTAAAAGAAATCGGTTCGGTGAGACCTGAGAAAAAGTGGTAACAGACACAAAAAAAAAAACACATCATAGTAAAATTAATACCTTCTCAGCTTTGCATCGATGCTAAAAAGTGTGAGCTAAAATAATTTCTAAAAACTTGATGTCTTTTTTAAACAATATGTAATGAAACTTGAATTATTGTATGTAATCAAGAAACTGAAAGGTAATCCATGTATTAGAAGTTTCCAACTTACCCGAGGATGAAAAATGCACAAATGAGCAAGTCTAAATTGAAAGTATTGTTTTCTTTGATATTGAGGAATAATTATGTTTAAATGGGTTCCTAGTGGGGCAGACAGTCAACCAATATAATTATAAAGAAGTGTTAATTAAATTGTGGGTACGTGTTAACAGGAGCGGACTTAGGTATGTGGTGGCTCCTGGGCGGATTGCATTGTGGGGGCCCCTTATACATAAACAAGGAAATATATATTTTTACTTATTAAATAACAATTATCATATTTGTGATACCAATGTATACCAAACTTGTGGGGCCCCTGGGCTGCAGCCCACTCAGCCCTCCCCTTAATCCGGCCCTGTGTGTTAAACAAAAAAGGCCACATATTTGGAAAAACGGCTGGGTTCTTAACTAAACAATGCTTCAGTTCACAGCGTAATTTCAATCCAACGGTTTTTAATGGAAAAAATCTTACTATACTTCAATATCCCTCCTGATCTCCAGACTTGGCTCCTTGTGATTTTTTTATTCCTGAAAACTAAAAGTTCATTAAATGAAACCCATTTTTAAACATTTGATGAGTTAAAACTAAAACAACAATACTACCTAAAGAGCTGACTGAAAGCGATTGGCAATGTTGTTTTTAAGAGTGACAGCGGCGTATGGAACTGGATGTTGTTACAAAACGGTTTTACGTTAAAGGTGATTACCATTAAATATAAATATAAACCATTTTATTAAAAAAGTCTGGTTATTTTACTGTCACGCCTCATATTTCAATGACGTAATATATGTTTATAATTGTGTAAAAGGTAAAATAACTCTGTCTAGAAAAACGTCTGTCATATGTATTTGAACGCTTTAACTTGACTTGCATTATTTTTCAATATTCTGGTGAAATCAATATTTAAATAGTCAATTTTTCTAAAATGAATGTTCGTCATTTTTTAAATAATATTAAAATAAATAATAAATTAAATAAAATTAAAATAATTATGATACTTGTCACTTTTTATTTAATTAAAAACAAATTAGGATTTTTGATAACATAAATTTGATGTATTTGTATGCTCTGGTAGGACGATCGATGATTATTTTAGTTTTTTTTATCCTGCAATAGATTACACCGATTGCGCCAATCGACGACGCTTAGTTAACTATTCCAATAGTATTGTTACTACTACTACTACTACGGCCACGGCTAGCTCCTACAACATCTGTAAAGTATATTCGCCACCGATGCGTTTATTAAATGCAGTGTAATAGGTTCAGTGGTGCGGTAAAACACAAACTTCGCGCGCGCATTGCTGAACATTTGCGTCGTTCACTTTATTTTTTCACGCCAGTTAAAGTAAGTANGCTTTATTTTTTCAAGCCAGTTAAAGTAAGTACTAGCCACCTTTAATAGTTCTATTTTTTCAATTTTCACCAGAACAAGTTTTTTCATCTTATAATTAATATTAAATCATAGATGGCAGTTTTAATCAAAACAAAATTTCATTGAAGCTTTTTGTTACTAAGATGACCGCACTTAATCTTTTATGATAACTTGTCCTCTTTTTGTGAACGTCGTTCTATGTTAAGTCTATTTGTCTAGATGTCCATTTTTTATACTTGATCTATTATTGCATATTCTTGTGTAATAGTAATCTGACAGTTTTTTTAATACATAAAAAGTAGAACAGTGTTTCAATCTAATAATTTCAAATACAAAGCAGATTAATTTAATGTAAAAAATGTTCTGATCGCATATATTTTTTATGAACAAATTCCATTTGATCAAAACGGCATTTGTCTTTTAAATTAACGTCAGCTGTCTAGTACACTTTAGTAACCATGCTGTATTTATTAAGCTTAATATTCTAAGCATATGACCATATAAAGACCAAAATATTAAAAATCGATCAAAGTTTAAATTATTTTCGACAATAATTTAATAATTCACAAATAGAAACATTAAATTTATTGTAAAAACTTTCTAATCGTCACAACTAAGTTTCATCTTTGATGTTTCTCTAAAGAAATATTTTTTTTATTTACGAAAATAGTAAAAATTGAAAGTTGATTCAAACATTTTTAAAAGAATATCGCAAAAATGTTAAATTCTTTAAAATCATTTTTTGACAATTTTATAACTCATAATTTTTCTACTAAGTGATGAAAATTCAAAAAAGTGTCTCTTGCATCTTACACAAAATCTATCATGAAAACAATTTACATTATTTAATTATTGTTTTTTTGCAAACTGATAAACACATATTACTGTTTATAAATTAATTTATTATACTATCAATTAATTCGACTTTTATTACATTGACTATATTAATAAAATCAACATACGTCATATGCATCAATATTAATATATTTTATATTATTATTAGAATATTGATGTAATATAGTAGTAGTATATATATATAATACACTACTCAGTTTATACAACTACTCTGAATTCAAAATTTGCGTATTATTTAATGATATGTTATATAAATAGCCAATTGAAAAAATTAACTTACATACGAGACTTAAATAGTAAATTTAGGGAAGGTTATTTGTGAATGTTGTTCAATACAATTCACATTATGACTTTAATAAGACATTACAAAAATACACATATTTTAAACTTGTATCAATGTTGTTGTTTCTTTTTAAGTAACAAAAATCTGNTGTTTAATGTTGTTGTTTCTTTTTAAGTAACAAAAATCTGTTTAGCTT